TTTATGGCTATATAGTAGTTATATATCATATTAACATAATGGCATATAAATATTTGAGTGGCTTCTTGAGCCATGACACTAACTACAAACATAAACGTTAATATAATTATCTAAATTAGTTACTATATATTTATTTTTGATTGCATATTTGGCACTACCAATTCTTTGCGTTTAATCAACGATCAAATGATCCAGATAAATAGTTATGCATTTATAGTGTTTGTTCCAGAAAGAAGAGTGGGGCCTCCAAATTTATGGAGGCCCCGTAATTCACGACAAATCAGTGCATTGCACCATTTGGTACCCATTGTGGGCGCCACTGTAAATAACACTAAAAACAATACTAATTTACAAGAGAAAAAACTTATAAGTTAATAATTAAAATTATTTTTATTAGTACCCTATAAGTATAATTATATAATTTTTGAAATTATATTTTTTTTCATTTTAGTCTGTTTCCCCCCATAATTCTAATATTAATAAGTTATTTATATTATAATAGATTATTAATAATAGCTAATTACTAATCACCAGATTATTATTTTATCCTATTTAGTGCATACATTTAATTTTCGGTTATAATACTCAAAATTGTAATACAAAAATCCTCATAAATGTTTATTTCTTCAAAGTATAAATAGGCACATTTTTTATGTATTTGAATGTTAAAATGTTGACAAAAATTACGAAAATCTGCATCATTTTAAAATTAACAAAAAATTAAATTTTTATATTTTGGTAAGGCTTGAAGATATGATACATGATTTCTCAAAAGAAGTAATTACAGTACTTATATTACTATATATCAAATTATCGAAAATGTTGATTTATAATTCTGAAATCGTATGAATCGTATGAATAATATTTTTTTCGAATCCAAAGATAAATACATACTACAACATAATTTTTTTTTTTTTGTTTCTCAAAGCATGTAACTTATGACTATTTGATGTTAAAAATAAAACTAATAACAGCAAATGAATTCGTATCAAATAGATTGTATAAACAGTTATAAAGAGGGATTTAATGAGTCGACCGTATCAGGTTTTTTCAAATTTCACGCCCCTAATTTAAAGGACAGTGGAATAATTATTTACCACTTTGATATATTAAGTAACTAATATATTGACTTAATACTGTTAACACGATCATCGATAACATAGCAACGATAACAATGTTTCGCGTACAGATTAACCACTTGTATGACATTAAATTACACGTTGCATCTGCTGGTAAATATCAAATTACATCAAGTAATACCAGTAACTTATCAGTGGAATAACAAAAATAATTGTGATAAAAAATAGCTACCATAGACATATAAAAGGCTAAAATATAAGAATTGAAGCACACCAATAGTTCTAAACAGCATAAGCCAAGTCCCCAACATATGTTACCAATTTATATATAAACTAATAAACCATAATTAGACATAAAAGGTATAATTTTCAAATTGCTGACATTTTATTTTTTTAAATACATAAGCATCCCGGAGTACAATCCTAATTTAAAAACATTTCTTTGAGCATGTTAAGTTTGGAGACTTCTAAGACGATTAAAATTAAAAAAATAGAAAACAGATATTTGATAAAATTGATTTAATCAACGCACTTGAAAAAAATTCATAAAAAAACCATATAGGTGGTAAAATACTCAGTAACTGATCGTGTTAGTCAGACCCGTTGTATGATATTTTCCACCTTAAAGCAAAAATTGTATGGTCGCTGTTTATTATAAAAATTACATACCGGAATTATAAAATGCTGTAATAATTTACAGTCACATTGAGCTGGTGGAGTTACGACAATAGTAAAGATGCATAACAGTAATTATTGTCGTATGTTGTCGATATTTATTAAATTTTGATACTTTAATTTTTTTTAAATTGTATGCCGCCCTAAAACAATGTACGACTTGCTCGAACTCTAGCGACGGGCCGGGAGTGAATAAACGGATTAACTTGATATAATTATAACTATTGGTACCACTGAATAATCATTTAAAAATAATAAATAATATATAATAATTTAAAATCGGTTATTTTTTTCATTTTATTTATCTTTCTATACCTATTTAATTTAAAAAAATTATAAAATACATAAATAATTTAGAATGAATAATATTCATAAATAATTCATTGACCCACAATCCTCGAGTTTCTATAACTAACACAAAAAAAATTTAAGTCATAAGAAATGTAAAATGCCTTGTAGGTTAGCTTTTCAGTTAGCTTTTTATTAAAGCTTTTCACCTTGAAACAATAAAAACATTGTATAAGATTGTATCATAGTGTGGTCCTTATTTTTAAATGTTTATATTTTTGTAACTGATCCCCATAATTAGGTCTCGATATGCAATGGTGGGCAAGTGTATGTTATTGTATTAATTTCTGTGGGTAATTTCATAACTAAATCAATTACGACATCCAACAAAATAGTTCAATAATTTGAATGTATTTTATTACTTACAACTTGTCATCGACAGTTTTATTTTATAAAATATAAATAGACATTGGTCAACAATATATTTAAACTGTATAAATCCATCTACGAATTCTATAGAATTTCTATAGGTAATAATTAATAATAATAATTATAAAATAAAATCAAACAGTCGTTGACTGTGTCACAATTTACGTTCATTCCTTCTTATTTGTGCATTTTGTAATACACATGTGTTATATTGTAATTATTATTTTATATTTTTACGTTTTAATTTTAGAATTTTAAAATTAATCATGAAAAAGGTACCTAACCTTCCTTGATTCAAATATAATAAGTTTTTTAAAATTTTATATAAGTCAGATAATGAAAACAATTACTACGTTTAATGGAATGTATATGATGGAAATTCGAAATCGTTATCAACACAAAATATCAGTTTATAAAATAAATAAAAGTACATTATACAGTAAGTATTATTATTATTTTCTTTATAGTATTTAATCTTAAGTCTATATATTTTTATCTTTTCAATTTTTTTTTTTTGATTTGTAACTTGGTAGTAATGTAGTTACTTTTTTTATTGAAAAAATAAATTAATTTCATTATAATTTTATTGATTAACGAATAAAATAACTAATTAGGTTTTTATAGTCACTAACCCAACACTGATAATAATATTAGAAGTACTCGTAAGACTTTCAGCACATATGAAGTAATAAGGAAAAAATTTATGAAATATAACTTTTGACGACACAATAGAATCGTTTGAATTATTTACATCACTAACACCACGGTTTTCATTGTAAATATAATTTTTATAAATGAATATGTATAATAAATTTTAATTAAATATGAGTCGGTAATGAGTTTACAAACGTGTATTGGATACTGGGTTTATTTTATATATACAGCATATTGACCATTGTAGTATATTTAATATATATTACACTTATTGGTTGAAAGAAGAACATAGTAAAAACAATTTAAAGTTATATTTTTTATTTTAAGTTAATATCGATTATGTGATTATGTGAGTTTAATTATATTCAAAAGAACTGATGACTCGTAACTTTTGAGTACCTACACATTTGAAAAATTATTATTTTAATTTAAATGTATGAAATATTTAAATTACTAAACCAATTATAATGAAAAGATAATATTCTTTTTAAACTATGGTAATGTAGGTTTTTAATTAATAATCCTAGTATTATTTTATGATTTGTATCAATTATTATAAATAAAAAATTGACGTTGCACTTTTCTACATCAATTCATTTTTAGTAGCATTTAGGATGGATACAACTTAAATTTGAATCTATTAATATTTAGGTCTATTTACTTAGATGTAATAAATAATATAGGTAATATACTTTTAATATATTCATAAAATATTTATTATTTTATGTTACGCAGTGAAATTAATAATACAAACTATTTATGTTATAACACTGTATTACATATATAATATTATCAATATAAACTAGGTTATTATACTTGCTTGTGAACATTAATATGATTATTTAATACAAATGTTTTTCTTAATTAGTTTACAAAAAATAAAATAATTATAAAATATTAAACAATTGTCGCCTTTTTAAAACCAGTACTAAACAATTGAAAATGAGAATCATAGTTTAAAATAATGGTCCTAAGTGTAAATAGGTACGGAAAATTACACATTGGACTGTAGTGTTAGATGAATATTTATTTAATCTGTTTATTTACTAGGTAGTCTAATTGTAAATATGAACTTCTTGAATGACATTTAAAATTTAATTAAACAAATAATATTATCATCCGAAGTATATTTTTTATAAAAATAAGATATGTCTTTAAAAATCCACCAATTTAATTTTAATTTTTTAAAATATGTTGATACTGCTTAATTACATATTAAACGAGTACCTACATCATGACATTATATTGTCATTTTTCATCATTATTCATTTGATATAGAATGTTGATGACTTATGCAATTCTTCATTCGACCTTAACATTAATTTTTAAACACTAAATACTGTTTTAAGACATCCCTGATTGAGAATGTAGAAATTTAAATTACTTACTACTTTTATATATTACTACTATATATTTGTCGTATTTATATTTGTAAATTAATTTTGTTTGTTTTAAGTACGTAATTTTTTCATTTTTTCTAATGTTTTTCACATTGCTAAAAATAATAGTAAGTATTACTTTTCAATTATATTTATATCTCCAGTCATCGTGATGATTTGTTATTCAAATAAAATTTGGGAAAAACTGAAATTGGCCAAGTACACATTGTCTCCGAACATTAATATTTGGAAAAAGAAAATTATTTGTTTAACCTTATTATCAGCACGAGGGCGCAATTTTGTGATTGCGGAAAAACAGGTAACAAGGGATATTTGTTCATTTCGTATTGAACGTATTTCGTGCACTCAGTCGGCGGCGGGCGTTCGAAATAGATCGCCGGGAAAAAATCGATCGGCGAACGCCGCGTGAACAATAATCGAGCGCGATAATTGACGATGAGACGCGTCATAACAGCTGTGCGCACCACGCGCATAGTTCCAAACGATACGGGAGACAGAGCGCGCGTTACCGCTCGTCCGCGCTATGGTGGGGGGACATCCCTTCAGTTCTCAACCCCGGTCCGTACGTTACGTTTGATTTTCGGTCGGTGCGTTCAGTGTGTCTAGTGTACGGTCCTACACGCGTGCGCGAGAACTATTCCGACACGGCGCGCGACACGAATCCGCGTTATTCCTTGATAATTGTTTATAATTGTTTTTATTTATTTATTTATTCTCGCCATTTCCGATCGTGCTCCTTCTGGTGGAGTGAATTTTCAACCGTTGTTCATTTCTCCACAATGAGCCCAAAATCGTCGAAGAAAATGTCACTGATTCCCGGGAAAATCAAGATCCTGGACAACTCGCTCCGCGAGTACAACCGAACCGTGTTGCGCAGGTAATTTAATTGTATTTTTGTTGTTTTGCTATTGTTATTACCCGGCCAGTAGTCGGCGATCGGCAGTTCCAATGTTTTGAATTCGTTTCGTTAGTTTACCCGACTGACGACGATACGAGTTCGTTGGTTTGTCAACATTTTTCCCGTCGTTTTTCATTTCTAATAAACATCGCGATGTCGTGTACAAACCAATGATAACGACGTATTCGTGTGCACCGTACTTATCGTTGTTACGTTTCGTGCGGCGGCGACGGTCTGTTAACAGATTTGTGTTCTTGCTCATACGCGCACGCACATTGTCTTATGAACAGCTGCACACTCGGCCCAGCGTTATCAACATTATTGTATGTGTGCTAATATCTTTTCTATGGTGTGTGATCAAAAGGCTCATTGATATTGTAAATACCTGGACACGTATTATTTGAAACTACAGTTACTGTCACTTTTTGCTTATTGAAACCCAATTTTTCGTACGATGTATGAAATGATTTTCAAATATATTTAACGCATGTGATTTGAAGTATTCGAGTCGTCGTTTCACTCAAAATTTGTATACATGATATCTTATTACGAAACTAACCGACGACGGACGATTCCCTTGTCTCTCTAACTTACGTGCATTATTACATATAATTGCATTGTTGATAAATATTACGAATGAATGTGTTACGAACGATAATAATACAGCATTTATGGAACTGTGTTCATATAATCCAATCTGCGTTAAAGGAAAAGTGTCTGAATATTTTAATTTCCTTATCTGACCGTCATCGATACACGAATATATTATAATAAATTAATTCGTTTTTATCAATATTTTTAAGTATTTAAAAGCAATGATATTCTCGGAAATATTAAACGTGCTAACATGTATTTATAAAGTTTAACTTAAGTGTGCATATTATAGTCCGTATATGTATTTTGTAATAGTAATAGTTTACTAAAATAATGACCTATGGATACTGATAATCTTAAAGAGGCCATTGAATTTTTTGTTTTATTTATTATGCTTTTAGGCATACCACCTTAACCAATGTAATGAATATTTTTTATTTTTGTTTAAGTAAACAAGATTTGTCGGTTTTTTCATTGTTGCTCTTAATATTGTATTTATTTTCGAATCTTTTAGTATGTGTGATTTTGTTATCATACATATTACATAAGCGCGGAACAATTTTAGCGTCGATAAATTATGTTGGTAACAGTATTGACCTTCGTTTAAAGAAGACATTCCCAAAAACTGGTTTGGTGACTAAAAAGTCATTATTATTTATTATTTATCATTAATAAAATATCAAGGTCTGGATCAATGTTCCCAACCTTTTTTTTTAATGGTGACTCACAAATTTACTGTTTGTTTACGCAACCCATCCTTACCAACTCTAAGAAAAAAAATATGTGATAATATAGTATTAATAATCATAGTACTGAACTGCCTGATAGAACTGGTCCTGATTATGACATAAAAAAAATATTTTGCGTTCCGTAGGTTGAGAAACACTCGTCTAGATCACTTTTTTGAGTTATAATTTTCATATGCGTCATGATAAACTCTTAAGAACTTAGCTGTGCATGTTTATACTAATGTGATACTCAAACATGTAATTTGGACAAGGAATTTTTTTGATTTAGTTCATTTGTATTGATGACGTTTAAATAATTTCGTTAATACTTAATAACATAATACTTGATAATTATAGTCTTTAAATCATTTGGTTTTTTGACACTAAAATATTTTTTGTTTTACTCTCTTCAATTCATGATCACTCTGAACTACTTTTGAAAATGTATGCTCTATGAGTATTTTAAGATAATTCAGTAATTATGGGAAGTTTTTTTTAATCTATATTTTGTTTACTTAAAATTAATATTAGTAAATGCGATATTTCCAGAAATATAAATACCAATAGGGCAACAATCTTATTATTTGCAAAAAAAATTTCAGACTTTTCAAGACTGTTTTAACAAAAAAAAATCTATATATTATTTAGATGAAAAATATTAAGTAATTAAAATGAAATAAATATAGATAATAATAAAAAAATTTAAAAAATTTAAAATATTTATAGATACCGTTTTAAAAACATGGATATTTCTGAATGATTTATTTACATTTATGAGATAGTATTGAGTTAATTTTAATGTAAGTACATAAATTAGTGTACACAAGACAAGAATATGATGTCCAATTTGACTAAGCAATTTGTTTTAAAAAATTATTAATATAAGACACACTACACCGTGTCGTGTCTTCTAAAATAATTATCTCTGATTGATTGAACCGTATTGTTACATCAAGGTATACCGTCTAATAAATTACAAGTTACCTCACTAACCATAAGATACCGTGAAGTTGATTTTATCCAACTTTTGAATGTGTGGTTACTAATTTTAATAGTAATAATTTAATATTCTGTGATAACATTACTCATAATAACAAAGGGCTCGGAAGGTGTTGCATTTGCATGATTTTATTGGCCGATTCAATTGATTTTTAACTAACCTTGAAATTATTTTCATTACACTATGAAAAACCTAATGGGAACGTTTTGAAAGAAAATTTCAAATTATAAGCTATTTATTTTACTTATATTTTTATTTATATTTTATATTATATTTTATATTTTATTTTATTCTTATATATTTATACCTAAAAATTATGTTTAGCTTAGGATAATATACTAGCAATATTTGTACTGTTATGTACAAGTATATTTAATAAAATATCTTTATTTATGAACATTTTTGCATTAAAAAAAATTAAGTACATATTTTTTAAGTATATTTGTACTTTTTTAAGCACATAAGTGCATGCATATTTAATACTTTTTAAGAGAATTAAGTTCTGAGCCCTTAATAATATAATACATAATTTCTACTATATAATTTAATATTCATCAGTTATTATTTATTGAAACTTAAGAAAATATTTCATATCTAAAAAAAAAAATTGCGAAAATATGTAACCAAAATTTGATAGCATCACCATAAGATATATATATATATTTATATATATATATATATTGGTATCACACATTTTCAAAGCACACGGCCTGGTATAATACATGTCACAGTGTAGTGTGAACCCGGCTTTAGATATCGAGGGTACACATTGATACAAAGGTGTGTAGTATATTATAAAGGTGCACTTATGAATTGATGCGTGGTACCACATAAAGCCCTTAAGACCATGGTTACATGAACTACCACAAATGAAGACAACCTTTTGTGCATCCTATCACTGTTTGGTATATAAGCTAGTAGAATTAAGGAGACAAGAGATTTGTATTTCGACTGAGACATTGTGCTAGTCGTTGTCAATTCTTTAGTCTTCTACTCATTGTAATCTTCTGAAACTTAACTCTACATTCATATATATATAACTATGCTATTTACTTATTTTAAATATAACTAATAAATTTGCAAAAACATCAAAATATTTCTTTTTGATAAAACCACGATCAACTTGTGGTGCTAATAAGTCACCCAGTTCACAGCAATTTATTTTGATTAAAATATAATTAATTATTTACCCTATTTTATAAAATTTCAAATAAATTATTTAATTCCATTGTATAATTAGTTTTTAAGTTACATATATTACAGAGCTATTGAATTAGTTTCCAAGGTTAAATAAATTAAGCATTGAGTTGGCTCCCTCAACATTTATAAATCCATTGATTATTAAAATAGTTCGAAAATAAATTCAACAGTAATGTAAATAATGTAATATAAATAACACAAATATATAATATATATATATATATATATATATATATATATATATATATAACATAATTAACATTAAATATAATATAAAATAAAAATATTACATTTTATATTCTATCAAAATAGTTTGAAATAACTATTTAACTATATATATACATATTAAAATAATTTAAGGATTAATGATTTAATAATTTCCAGCAGTTATCTAGTTCTGTGTTGCTAAAAATATTAAAGTTGCATACTTTTTCAACTTTTGTATTTTGAGAATCACTTGTTGCAATATTTAATCTGTGATCTAATTCAATGTTTGATGTTATACCTAATATTGGGAGCCAAATTCAATGGTTGCTATGTATTATGTGTTTACTAAAAAATGTTTAATTTACAATAAATTAATTTTAATAAAGCTTTTTTTTTTTTATTAGCTTCCAATATTAAAATTATTACAGCTCAACAATTATAACTGTGTACACTAAATGAGAATTGGATACAAAAAAAAGAAAAATATAATGAAGAGTTCTAAGTAGAGAAATATTAAAAATAAATAAATCTTTTTTTTAAAATTAATTTGTACTAGTTGTTATAAAAAATATAAAAGTCGAATATTATTATTTTCAATTTTTTTTATATTTTATAATTTTTTTATTATTATTATTAAATAAACTTTATTTACATTCAATTCTATATAACAAGCATAATAAGTAAATGAGATAATACAATATCATGAATGTGCTTAATTAACATGAAGGACGAAACCTGTTTAGCAACTGTACCTCCTAAAATTTTTTACTTAACATTTTTTAAATTATGTTTAAAATAAAACATTTTTCCCTATTATATAAATGTATTTTTTTTTTATTATGTGATTCAATAGGAAGTTATTCAAATATTTTGAAAATATTTGATTAGACTAAAAAGTTAAAGTTTTATGCGATTTTGTAAAGAAATTTGAAATTTTATTTTTTTTGAAAGTATTAGAATTGTAATTTTTCATGATGTATAGTTAAATTAATATTTAATTAATTAAGTAAAAACATACAACATTTCATACATTTATAGTTTCATTGTTTTATAGAGTTAAACAAGTATTGTGGTTTTCCAAGGCCACGCAAGTAAATGATATTTTTTAACTCAGTTAAGTTAATTGAGTTCATGTTCTATTAAGTTAATGTACATGAGAATTACATAAATTAAGTTGAAAAATATTGTGAACTTAACTTAAATTAATAAGTCAAGTTAATAACAAATAATATATATATATTTTTAAATTA